TGAAATGCGCTTCCAAGTTCCTGAAATGACCTATCCTGGTTCCTGAAATGACCCTACCAAGTTCCTGAATCATGGTTCCTGAAATTCCGGCATGGTTCCTGAAATGAACTGCGCCCCGCAGCAGATTCCTGTTGGAATTGTGAAGTTTGTTGAAAGCTTCCACTGCGGAGCTTGTTTTGCGATTTCTTTCTAGTCATACACGGCACAACAACACTTCCGGAAGCTCATCAATTCCTTCAAGACATGTACAATTGAGATGCTCTAAAAAATCTCTAGCGCTGGGCTAGCGGTTTCCTAGCGCCACACTGGTGATTCATCGGATTTCACTGCGTGCCGCCTCATGTCGAAGAGGAAAAAATGATGCTCCTCATTCTATTTTATTCAGTCCTTATAAAATACTAATACGCGTATTTTGGACGTAGCCCATATGAGTCAAGGTCGAGAGTCCTTAGCAGGCTGAGGTGCATGGGCGTGGGGCTATCCTCTTGATTGTCTCCCTTTCCTCTTACACAGTCAGGCTGTAGATGAAGATTCCACCGGCGTGCTGCATCATGCTTATCGTTCTTTTGTCTTCCATACTGCGCTACAGAATTTCCAGCGTCGGCCGTTACAGACATGTCCCCGCAATATATTTCGCCTGCTCAAATGACCCATAAACCCTAAACCCTCAACCCCTAACCCTAAACCCCAAACCGCGCCCTTAGCATTCTTGCCGTCACGGCATTCGGTCCCCGGGGAAGAAGACAACGTAGCGACCAGCCGGAACATGTCTGACCTTCATCAGCTTTTGGACAGAGTGTAGAGTTTAGGGTTTAGGACAATCTAAGGTTGAAACCATGGGTCCCAAGTATGGGCCCTTAACCCTGGCATCCTTACATACCTACTATATACGATAAATGTGCCCTGAAGGGTCCCGAGAATCCCTGTAAAGGCCTGTGGGCCCATATTGAGGGCCCAGACTTCTAACCTCAGAGATAAATCATGAACGAAGCAATGAGGATACTATGGGGATCGTTGTAAATCGAATCGCATCTTCTGGCACAATATCCCAGGGGGGGAGGGGCCGTTTTCTCTTGTACAGGGATCCTAATGAGAAGCTGGATAGGGTCCGGGGGGGGTCGGGGGGCCTTCGAGCTCCACGAGGAAGAGAGGGGCCAACTATTCACGACGAGGAAATGAACCGCTTCAGTTCTTACCTAGTCAGACGCTGCATCTACCAGAAATTGAAAGCAGTGGTGGTCGCCAAAGCCCCAGGCATCATGATGAGTAAGGAGACAAGTTGAGGAAAGTGGGGAGGCCAAATCCAACATGGCTTGCTCAGCAAATCAGCATCATGGCTCAATTAGAAAACCGTCAATTCAATACTTGAAGGGCACATTGGGGTACTGTTGGTTTCATATTGGGTAATGGAAAATAAAATGCAAACTGCTATTTAGAGTTTAGAGTCTAGGGTACATAGGGTTATCCTTTGAAGGGGTTATATAGGGGTTATATCATGCTGCGCCCCTTCTGCTACTGAATTGGAACCGAGTAAGCGCTGCGCCAGGAGCCAGTTCATCTTCCCCGCAAGGCCGGCGCAATAAAAGAGCCCTGCCCCTGGCAAGAGGTCACCCCAGCATGCGATGGTATATATATATGAGCTAAAGACTAAACTCATTAAAGGGGGGGTTATGTAGGGGATTATATAGGGCAGTATTATAGGAGTTATTCAGGGGGATACTAGGAGTTTAGGTTATGGCTCATTTGAGACAACTTATTGGTAGCGACCGTTACAGATGCGTACTTGGAGGGTCAGGTGAGCTTAACAAGTAGGTTGAACATTGATGTGTATTTTAGGGGTCATTAACCTACTTACGATCCTCCAAGTTTGGTTTAAACCTTAAAAACCCTAAAAGCCCTAAACCCCAAACCTCGAGAACGTGAACTTCAGTAAAGCCGGCAACACGCAGAGGCATCCCAATGGCCGAAATGTCAACTTTCCATGAATATATGATAGTCAAAACTACTTAAAGGGGGGTTGTGTGGGGGATTATATAGGGGAGTTTTTGGGGGGAACTACGGGGGATATTAGGAGTTTAGACTATAGCTCAAAGAGTAATCATGGAAAAGAAACTTGAGAAGACTATTTGGGGCTTAGGCTTTGGAACTCATCAAACAAATATAGCTACTGTTCGGGGTTTAGGGTTTAGGGATATAAAAATGGAAACCACAGTGTACGGTCTTGCGATAGTAACCCCCCCCCAGTAATGGAGAATCAAATGGAAAATAGAGTGGAAACTGGGATTCTGAACGGGGATTGTAGGGATTAATATTTCCCAAATAATCAATGGACATGACACGAACATGTGAGCTATATTCTAAACTCCTAGCATACCCCTTAATGAGCCCTAGAGTAGTCCCCTATATAATCCCCTATATAACCACCTTCAAGGAGAGCTTAAACTATAGAACATGTGGCCCGTTAGGTTCCAGAACTGAAAAATGCTTCCTTTGAGCGCATGTTTTCTGAGCTCGAACCTCGCAGGCATGCATAGGTCTTAGGGTTTAGGCTTAGGGATTAGGGTTCAGGGTTCAGAGTTTAGGGTTTGGGGTTTGGGGTTTAGGGTGTAGGGTGTAGGGTTTGGGGTTTAGGGTTCAGGGTTTAGGGTAAACATTCCGAAGTATGCCAGCAACAACCGGACCTGCTGCGCACTGAAGCCATACTTTGAATAGAGCGAGGAGGTAAGAAGCGCGCTGGTGTCTTCACTCCAGGCTTGCTGCATTAAGATGACAGCCATCCCACCAAGATCTTCAACAACACTTTCTAAACCCTAAACCCTAAACCAGGGGTGTACTTTTCTTGAAGGATGGCAACGGGCTCAGTGCAGCACCCTTAGGGTGCCTTCCTTGCCCGTGGAAAGTGAGGGGCTGTGGGGGCGGAGGGTTGGGGCGGAGGCGAATTCCACGGCAGCGCTTTGCCTAATCCACGGGTCTTTGCAACATATAGCATTACGTGAGTCATAGTCTAAACTCCTTAAACACGGTTATATAGGGGATTATATAGGGCAGTATTATAGGGGTTATTAAGGGGGATACTAGGGTTTATTAGACTATAATTGATACAACTTCTCTACAGTCATTCAGCAACTGCCGTGTGCACTACGGGACCCAGCTGGAGACTTCGTCATGCAGAGCCACTACGTGAAGCTTTGGTTGCGGGGCAGCCGTGTAGGTTCCCGGAATAGGGGTTGACAATGAAAGGCTCTTAATCTTGGGAGGCTCGACAACCGCAGCTTGAATGAAACTATCACTACGTTGTGCACTGCATACAGTCACAAACATGGTCTTCTGGGGGGCTATACAGTGCACTGAGTGTGGGCATTAGACACAGCAAGATTGCCGCATGCGAGTCTGGTGGTAGCCTTGACTGGTACTTCAGATGAGCTACGGTCAAGATTTCCTGCGCAATTACTGGTCATGGGCTTCCATTAGGGAATGCATTAGGGACTACACTAAACTACCATACAGACTCTTGTGTCCACCCTTAGTGGTCTCTTGGTAAGCCTAGTATTGACAGTAACTCATATGTGCTTCTCAGATCCAGTCCCATGTAGGCTCTTGCTCCATGCATTCCTGTACCGGCATCTGTTCAACGCTGAAGGCACTAGCGCCCCAAACGGTTGCTGGCACAGGGTGAGAAACCTAATCATAGTTCTCTTACCAGGACTCCGCTAAGTTACGCAGATGTCCTGGGAGGTCCCCTCGAAAACATTGTCGTTCTTACTTCAAGGCCCCTGGTTCCCAAAGCCTGACTATAATCCGACTGACGCTTCTTGCCACGACTTCTAGCTACTATCACTGAATCATCAATGCCACTGCTAGCTCGGAGGACCAGTGGCTTCCACCGGCAGGCTCAATCGTTGAGCATGGTTAGCATGGCCGCCCCTTTGAGCGTCCAGTAAGAGGGATCGTTCAAGGTCTCCACCTTCCGTAGAGCAGAAGAGATTGGAAGATGAAAGAAAGATTAGATCCCTCCTGTGTCCGCAATCGACCTTGAACAATGTCAGACAGAGTGCCAAGACACAAGTCTTTGCCCTGCACATATCTGATGCTCTGCTTGTTTGGGATATCCGCGAGGGAAGAGGAATCATTAGCAGCAACGAGCATTCAAGAAGCAGTCAGTGGCAGCAGCAGCAGCAGC